CAAGCTCACTATCCAATGCCAAGAGTCCACACAGCTCAAGTCAAACACACAGCAGATCACAATCTGATTAGGACCAGCAAGCATATCAACACTCATAACTCATAAGCATAAACATAAAGACTACGTTTTCCTCTTATGATTTATGTCTTAAGGCTTCACACAAAGCCATAAGCCCTTAACCACTTGATTCTGACTTAGTTCAGTTAAAACAGAAGTTTAACTTCATCAATCTAGGGTCCAAAAACCCCCAATAGCCTATTGTATGAACAATGCAGCTACTGTTCTTCGAAATTCCAGAATATTCGGATATATGTCGGGGGCATATCCATATATCAATATCCGGATATCTAGATCCCCATATCCGGATATCAATATCCGGATATCATATCCAGATATCCCATATCCGGATATCATATCCGTATATTTCGCGACAGAATGCAGTTTCTGCATTTCGCGAAGTATCACTTCCAAGGTTCCATTTTTAAGCCATTCCAACGTCCAAGCATGCATCTTAATACATTTTTAGGTTCATGTTAAGGTTAGTTACTTGTTTAACCCATTAACATACCAAGACTTCATCTTTAGAGCACAAAAACACAAGATCAAGGTTGAGTCACTTACCCAAAGCTTAAAACTGAACCAAAGGTTGCTCTTGGAGCTCACAACCAGCTGCTCAAGGTTCTGACTTGGATAGAAAACGAAAATACCAAGCAAGGCTTGGCTCTTTCTCCCCAAAGGTTGCTTCTTGAAGCCACATAACCAAAGAACAAGGCTCTAAACCCCACAACCAGAGAAGACAGCCCACGAAACACCCAAGAGTAGCTCACCAACTCAGAAACCAAACGTCTCACCCAACCCAACACAACAACAAGATGATTTCAAGGAAGAATCAAGAGAAAAGATGATTATTTGGTGGTTTCTCATGAAGAAATGGTGAAGACAAGTCAAGAAAGCACCATGTCAGCAATGGGAGGCACAAGGGTCATGTAGGAAGGCTGAGTATCAGCTTAGGGTTTAGTGTCCTTAGTATTTATAGGCGGTTTTACACTTAAACACATAGTATTAACTTTAATTGCTACGTTTAGCATTTTAATCCCAAACTTTGGATTCTTAACCTACTCAATTTTACAAGAATTATCATATTTTTATTTTATTTTTCGGAGCACCTTTCCGGTACGCGCTTTTCATAGCCAGTATCAGTTTCTGGCACCAGTTCTCATTATTTTAACTTGAAACTCGTTTTACAAGTCCTATATAATATTCTAGGAATATTCATGCACTTATTATAATTTTCCGAGATACTTTTTTGGTACGCATTTATACCGACTAGCAGAACCGGTATCTGCAATTTTCTTTCGAAAAGCGACTTTCAGCATTCTTAATCACTTACTATATTTATATAAGCCTCATAATAATTATTAGGGTCAATTATAGAATTATTTCCTAATTCTCATATATAATTAATTAATTTCCTTAATTAACGGTGCGGGTTCTTACAGTTACTGTCTCGAAATTCTCAGAATATCCGGATATATGTCGGGGCCATATCCGGATATGAATATCCGGATACTATATCCAGATATCATTTCCGGATATCCATATCCGGATATAACAAGGCCCATATCCGGATATCAATATTCGGATAACATATCCGGATATTTCGCGACAGAATGCAGTTTCTGCATTTCGCAAAGATATCCATACAAGATTCAACCTTTAACCCATTTTAACGTCCAAGGATGCATTTTTAAGCCCTTTTAGGTCAGTGATCACGTTGGTTACTTGTTCATCTTATAAAACATGCCAAGGCTTTATTTTTAACTAAGGAAACTCATGATCAAGGGTGATGAACTTATCCAAAGCATCAAAACAGAAAATAAGGGTGCTCTTGGAGCTCTCAAGTCTGCTCCAAGGTGCTGACTCCTCCAAGGTACACGAAATGCAACTTCAAGATAGGTCATTTCACACCAAAGGTAGCTTCTTGAAGCTCAAAATGCCATGACAATGGCCCTCCAACAACACTCAAGAACACAGCTCTTCACTACCCTCCACACAGAACCAACACTCAGAAATGATGCACCTTCCCCACTCACAACGCTAGTTCACACTAATCCAATGTGTTTTGGTGAGGATTTCTTGAAGAAAAATGCCACTTGGCTCATAAGATAAAAGAAAAGAGGTGGCAAGCATGGGAGGCTCAAGGTTCAGAAGAGAGGCACGTAGAGTGTGAGATTTCTGACCTAGAAATATGTGCCAAGGCCTTATATAAGCCACTTAAGTTTTAATCGCACTGTATTAGCGCTAATAGCTACGCTTAGCATTTTAATCCCAAATTTAGGATTCTGAACCTAGTCATTTTCCTAGGATTTTTCATATTTTTATTTTATTTTTCGCAGTACTTTTCTGGTACGCGCTTTTACGAAGCCGCTATCAGTTCTGACACAAATTCTCATTATTTTGACCTGAAACTTGTTATGCTAGTCCTATATATTATTATAGTAACATATACATACTTTTTATAATTTTTCGGGATACTTCATCGGTACGCATTTATACCGTGAGCAGAACCGGTATCTGCACTCTTCGTCAGAAAAGCAACTTTCAACATTATTAATCACTTACCATAATTATTTAAGCTTTCTTATAATTATTAAGGTCAATTATGGAATTATCTCATTAATTTCCTAATTAATTAATTAAATTCCTAATTTAACGGTGCAGGTTTTTACATAATTTAAATAAAACAGATTTAAAATTTGGATTTAAAAATTAGAATTAAAAAGCAATCAACCTAAGGAATCAGGATTCATTAATTTATTTAGTCATTGAATTAAAATATAATTATCAATTTGTGATTAATCCCAATTAAATTCGGAATCCTCAAATTCAATTGGAAACCCTCTCTAGACTATCGCCAAGCGTTTGGTTGAATACAGTATCTCAACTATGCGATCTTATCAACTTATGTTCATAGGGTAAATTAATCTGACCATTAAATCTAATGATCAATTTTCCCTTATAGAATGCAATCGCATTATTCAGTTTGAATATCTACAAACGCATGATATTCAACCTGAATTGGGGAAAAAAATGAAATTGATTTAAAATGTTAAAAACAAATCCTCTGAAATAAACTAGCGAACCTTTAACCTTAGATTGATTAAAGGTGTTTAGCCTAGCATCGCAAGGTGAAACATCATTCAGAATAAAATAAAATAGAAGAAGAAGAAGATGAAAAGAAAGAGTGCAGAATTTTGATAAAGAAAACTAAAAACAATTGTTCAATTCCAAAATCTGACTCCAAAGGGTTTCCTAACGTTTCCCTTAAATAACCCACATTCAGAACGGGTTAGGGTTTCACCTCTTCGGCCCATACATAAAATAAAACTTAATAAAATAAAATAAAACATTAAAACATGGCCTTGGGTCCTAAACACATTGTGTTCTAATCTGATTTACAAGTCCAAACGTTAAAATAAAATTCCAGCAAAAACATGTTATCTTGGGCTCAGGTTTCGACCATCTTCTCGTCCGAATTGGGCTTTAGTAGCTGAAATAGAGATTGTAACCCTTTCTGTTAGATGCAAAACGCAACAAGAACAGAGTCAATCAGACATTTGTAGAGTGAAATATGGTCAAAATAAGAAAGTAGTGTAAATCTGGAAAATTATGACGAAAATCAATTAAACCCAATTAAAATCTAGAATTTTGATTTGACCCAAAAGACCTTTATTTAATTCAAATAAATCCTAAAAATACCAACCAAGAGTAATAAAAAAGTGTAACAAATTATGTGTTATCAAATTTCCACACCCTTATCTTTTTGCACTCCTGGGCAAAAACTAAAATAGAAAGCAAAGACTAAGACCCTCCAATCCCTTCTAACAATTACCAAGCATACAGAAAAAATACAAAAATCACATATCTTTAATTAGGACAGAAATTCCCTAATATCAAATCATAAGACCTGCTTATTTTAACTGTACACGCCAATTACAGAAAATGTTTCCTTACAAGATGCTCTCAATATTTTTCTCTCAAGGGTATTAGGTAATCAGTGTATCACTCAAATCTACTCAAGAAAATCATTCTACCATAGGCTTGCTCAAATTCTACTTCTCCACTGCTACCAACATATGCATGCACAAATCAAGAGGACTTTATGTAGGGTTGTAATGGGGCTGAGGTGAAGGTAAGGATTAAATATGGAAAAGAAGGTTAAGCACCCAAAAATCTACTAGAGAAAAACTTAAGAACTACACTAAGAAAATAAAACAAAGATAATGAAAAGATAGAAATAAACACATTTTTTTTTGATTTTTTTGATTCTTTTGATTTTTTGTTGACAGTAAAATCACATAGCAGAAAAGAATCAGATGATCACCCCCCACACTTAAACTTTTGCACGTCTCAGGCAAATCTCCACACTTAAACACAACATCACAGTGAAAACCAATGCTCAGTAAATCTCCAGGTGTGGAATTAGTTGCTTTTTCACTTAGTCTAGTAATGTGGCTTAAGAAACAAAGGATATAAAGGCACAAAGGGGCTCACCAAAGCATAATGTAAGGTATGATTATCTGGCTAAAATGGGTAAAGAATGAAATGAATGCCTCAATCATATTCATGCATGTAAGTGAAAAATGCAGTTTCAAAAAGAATCAGAGCAAGTTCTAGAGAAAAAAAGATCAAGAGCAGAAGCACACAAGAAAAAAGAATGTCCAGAAGATGTATGCCATGTATACAGGCTCAAAATCTTACAAGGGTTAACCAAATCATCCAATCAACAACACAGAATCGATTAACAGGTATTACAATCCAAGAATCGAGATCAGAGCCCAACATACCATGCTATCAAACAATGTGATCTAAGTCTACTCCATGTACCACTCAATAATTACCAAAAAGAAGAGGAAAATCTACTTATGAAAATCAAAAACTAAAGAAAAATGCAAATAACAGAAAGAAAAGGAAATAAGGAAGAGAACTCCCTGAACTCCCTAAGGAGAATAAACAGCATCGAGCAGCCTGATCTCTGCTTCCATCTCTGTATCCTCAGGCTGCTGTGGTGTTTCTTCATAGAAGGGCTTCAGACGATGCCCATTAACAGTAAATGTGCTCCTAGTCTGTTTGTCTTTTAATTCAACTGCACCATAAGGAAAGACATTAGTAATAACAAATGGGCCATTCCATCTTGATCTAAGCTTACCAGGCATGAACTTAAGACGAGAATTAAATATTAGAACATTCTGGCCCACTATAAACTTTTTCCTCAGGATCTGCTTGTCATGTAATGCTTTTGTTTTCTCTTTATATATCCTGGAACTCTTATAAGCATCCAATCTCAGCTCTTCTAATTCTTGCTGCTGAAGTTTCTTCTCTGCTCCTGACTGGATGAGATCCATGTTGCATTGCTTCACAACCTAATATGCTTGATGCTCCAACTCTACCGGAAGATGACATGCTTTTCCATAAACAAATCGATAGGGGGATATCCCATTGGGAGTCTTGTAGGCAATCCTGTATGCCCATAAAGCATCTTCAAGGCTTTTGCTTCAATCCTTCCTGTTAGAATTGACTGTTTTCTGAAGGTTTTGCTTGATTTCTCTGTTTGAAACTTCAGCTTGGCCATTGGTTTGTGGATGGTATGCAGTGGCTACTTTATGAATTACGCCATATTTCTTCATTAATCCAGCCATGCTTCGGTTGCAGAAGTGAGAACCTTGATCACTGATAATAGCTCTAGGAATGCCAAACCTGAAAAAAATATTAGATCTGACAAAATCTAAAACAACAACAGAGTCGCCAGTCCTGGTGGCTTTGGCCTCAACCCATTTAGATACATAATCAACAACCAAGAGAATATATGTAAATGCAAAAAAAATAAGAAAGGGACGCATAAAGTCAATACCCCAAACATCAAAAATCTCACAGAAGAGAAGGCCAAAACAAACTAGAATCTAAAACTTTCCTAGTAGTTCTTTGTGGTCCAAAGTGACCACCACAGGCAGATGTATGACAAAAATTCAAAACAGATTGGAATTCAATATCAGGCACACATCTCCTAACTACTTGATCACTACAAAGTCCAAAGTCCTGGAAGCATATGCAATGACATGTGGAGCCTGATATTTTGCTTGGGCCGAATCCAAAGTTTTAGAACCATATGCAATGACATGTGGAGCCTTGTTGACCCGCTAAGCAAGAATAGCTCCAACAACATAGTTGGAGGCATCGCACATCAACTCGAATGGAAGGGACCAATCAGGTGACTGAATCATAGGGGCAATAGTTAGGCAGCGCTTCAGATGATCAAAAGCTGCCTTGCATGCATCACCAAACTCGAACTCAATGTCTTTTTGGAGAAGGTTGGACAGTGGTAGGACAATCTTGCTAAAATCTTGAATGAAGCGCCTGTAAAATTCTGCATGACCAAGAAAAGAATTCACTTCCCGCACAGAGGCGGGGTAAGGCAAAGCAGTAATAACATCAATCTTAACAGATCTACTTCAATTCCATTTTTATACACTACATGTCCTAACACTATTCCTGACTCAACCATGAAATGAAATTTTTCAAAATTCAAGACAGGATTAGTCTGAATGCATTTTTTCAATATTCTGTCCAAATTACCCAAACAAAGATCAAAAGAAGACCCATATACACTAAAATCATCCATAAATACCTCTATGCAGTCCTCTAAAAACTCAAAAAATGCTTACCATGCAACGTTGGAAAGTACCTGGTGCGTTGCAAATAGAGTCGGCAAAACGGGCCCGGCTCGGCAGGCCAACCCGCCCAACCCGCCAAACTGGGCGGGGCGGGCTGAGTTTTTCAAACCATCTCAAAAGCGGGGCAGTGCGGGCTCATTTTTTGGTGGGTTGATGGCAGGCATAGGCGGGCTGAGGTGGGTCAGTGTAAAATAGGCTTGGGCTGGCGGGCCAACCCGCCAAACGGGGCGGGGCGGACTGAGTTTTTCAGCCCATTTTCAAAAGCGGGGCGGGACGGGCTGACTCATTTTTTGGCGGGGTAGGGCGGGGCGAGGCGGGCCACCCACTTTGCCACCTCTAGTTTCAAAGGCCAAATGGCATCCTCCTATATGCATATGTGCCAAAGGGACATGTGAAGGTGGTCTTCTCCTGATCCTCAGGTGTAATACGAATCTGGAAGTAACCAGAATATTCGCCCAAGAAGCAGTAATGGGATTTACCGGCAAACCGCTCAAGCATCTGATCAATAAATGGCAAAGGATAATGATCCTTGCGAGTTGCTTGATTTAGTCTACGGTAATCTATGCAGACTCAAACTATTCTGAGCTCTTGCTAGAACCAGTTCATATTTCTCGTTTGTCACTACAGTCACTCCAGACTTCTTGGGAACTACTTGAACCGGGTTGACCCATTGGCTATCTGAAATGGGATAAATGATGCCAGCCTGCAAAAGCTTGGTGACTATCTTCTTCACCACTTCTAAGATAAGTGGGTTCAGGCGCCTCTGGGGTTGTCTAACTGGTTTAGCACCTTCTTCAAGAAAAATACGGTGCATGTACATGGAAGGGGTGATTCCCATAATATCTGCTAAAGTCCATCCAATTGCCTTTTTATTTTCTTTCAGCAATATCATAAGCTTTACCTCCTGCTCAGGTAGAAGGTTCTTGGCCACTATCACAGGTAACTGCTCATTTTCCTCTAGATATGCATACTTCAGATGGTCAGGCAGAACCTTCAATTCCAACTTAGGTGGGTGCTCAGTGGATGGGAGAGGTCTAGTGGGTGCAGGTTCTGCAGAAAACATATTAACATCTATGCCTGCAATCAAATGCTCATAAGCATAAACATCAATAATTTCAACAGGCAATTTAGAATTCAACATCAATGCAGAACCATTGTGCAAATTATCATTCAATACATGATTAAAATCAGAACAACACAATGCTATCTCAGCACAAGCTGTACAGTCACTATTATCGGTACAACCACATGTCATATCAGAATCAAGGAAGGGTGAAAATTCTGGATATTGAGCAGTTAAATCAGCAGAAATATCATCAACCACTTCATCTATTACATCAATACAAAAAATAGAATGCTTTTCCCTAGGAAATTTCATGGCATCAAAAATATTAAAATTGACCATGCTACCACCAAATTTCATGGAAAGGGTACCAGCATGGACATCTATCTTAGTCCTAGCAGTTTTCATGAAAGGTCTACCAATATATCTTAGTACTATGAGTCTCGCCCTCCATTCCTAAGATATAGAAATCAGCAGGAAAAATCAGATTGTTCACCTTAACTAATACATCCTCAACTACACCAGAAAGGTGAACACTACTCCTGTTGGCTAACTAAACAACAATACCAGTAGCATGCAAGGGACCAAGACCAAGAGACTTATACACAGATTCAGGCATAACATTAATGGATGGTCTTAAGACTAACATGCAATCATGAAAAACAGAATTCCTAATAATGCAAGAAATAGTAAATGTCCCTGGATCTTAACGCTTTTTGGGCATGGGCTGGATGAGTGCTGACACATTCTGACTGACGTTAACTCCCTCATCTCCTTTCAGCCTCCTCTTGTTATTGCACTACTCCTTTAGAAACTTTGCATATCTTGGAATTTGCTGAATCGCATCCAGGAGTAGGATGTTTACCTCTACCTTTCTGAAGGTGTCAAGAATCTCTTTATCCTGAGCTTTTTCCGCTTGCTTCTTAGACTGGGTGGCTTTTTGAGGGAAAAGCAAGGAATGTGGATATCAGACGTATCAGTGTTCTGCTTCCTTGCACTAGTGTCACCTCCCTGGGATGATTTAATAGCATCTTCGATTGGCTCCTCCAGTATTTTGCCAGACCGCAGAGAAATAGCACAAATATTGCCGCTTCCCTTTGGATTTGGAACTGTCTGTGATGGAAGGGAGTTGCTGGAAGGTTGAGCTTGGTTCATTGATGTCGCCAATTGCCCAATCTGTGTCTGCAAATTCTGAATTGTGGATTCTATCCTCTGTTGAAACTCCAGATTGTTGGTGGCCATCTGTTTCATTAAGTCCTCCAAGGAAGGACCACTGCCACTATTTTGATGTTGCATTGGTGGTTGTTGTTGCATCTGTTGGGAGTAGCTTTTTGGAAGTTTTGTCTCTGCTGTGGGATGAACTGCTGCTTCTGCTGATATGGAATATTTCACTGACTCTGCTGATATGGAATATTTTGCAGATTCTAGTTCCATCTGAGGTTGTGTAAGAACCTGCATCGTTAATTTAGGAATTTAATTAATTAGTTATGAGATTAATGAGATAATTCCATAATTTACTCTAATAATTATGAGAAAGCTTAAATAATTATGGTAAGTAATTAATAATGTTGAAAGTCGCTTTTTTGACGAAAAGTGCAAATATTGGTTCCGCCTTACAATATAAATGCGTACCGGTGAAGTATCCCAAAAAATTATGAAAAGTATGTGTATGTCACTAGAATAATATATAGGACTAGTACAACAAGTTTCAAGTCAAAATAATGAGAACTGACATCAGAACTGATACTGGCTACGTAAAAGCGCATACCGGCAAAGTGCTACGAAAAATAAAATAAAAATATGAGAAATCCTAGAAAAATGGCTACGTTCAGAGTCCCAAGTTTGAGATTAAAATGATAAGCGTAGCTATTAGTACTAATACAGTGAGATTAGCTTAATGGACCTATAAATAGCCTTTGGGCCCAAAACCCTAGGCCATATTGCAATTGTTACGTGAGGCTCTTTTGGGTGCTGATTGCTTCAGCCATTTGCCCTCTTCTTGGAAGCTTGGAACTTGCATAATAAATCCAACCAAGTGATCACCTTTCTTCTTTTTCTCTCCACCAAAACACCATAGCTTTGTGTGAGTGTGTCTTGCGAGGGTGTGGGTTGCTCTTGGCTGAGTGGTAAACCCTGTTTGGTGGTGTTTGTTGCTGTCCACCTTGGTTGAGAGGATGAGAGCCTTGCTCATTCCATTCAAGGCTTCAAGACCACCTTTTGGTGTAAAGGACCAATCTTGTGTTGCATTTTCGTGGTCCTTGAAAGTCAGAATCATAGTGCTGTGTAGAGGACTCCTTGTGTGTCCTATTTTCGAAGTTTTGAGCCTTGGAGGTATACCATGATCATCTCTTTTGTATTTTCATGATTTGAGCTTGTTTAATCCGTTAAAAAGGGAAACTTTGATCATTTGAGTTAAGGCCTGATAATCTAAGTCTAAAATATGTTAATGAACATCTGTTTACAGAGTTATTGGACTCCAAATCGCTTTAGGACCCTTAAAAATGGAATTATGCAGTGAACAACTGGAGTTTCTTCATTCTGTCTGATAAGTATTTGAATACTTTTCGTGTAGTATTCAAATACTCAACAACTGGTAATCGGATACTCCTTG